GGGGGTGCGGTGACCGACCCATTGATGGCGCATGCAGTGGCATGGGGGTCTCTGCGAGAGTGTCCTGTGTGCGCAGCAGCGTGGGGGCCGCCCGACGAGGCGCGGGCGGCGGGCGGTGGGCGTGCAATGGGCGCTGTTGGCGTGCCCGCCGCGCCCCTTCGGAGCGGGGAGTTGTTGGAAGGCGGCTGGACAGTTCGGCGAGAGAGGCCTCGCCGCGCGGGGCGTGGCAGGGACCACCAGGCAAGGCTGCCGTTGACGGGCGGTCGGGGCCAGCTGGCATCGTGACGGGCTGGGCCGGTTGTGTGTGTGTGTGTTTGTGTGTGTGTGTGTGTTTGTGTGTGCGCGTGTGTGTTTGTGTGTGTGCGTGTGTGTGCATGTTTGCACATGAGCAGGGTGGCCGCACCTCCTTGGAGGGGTCGCAGAGCAGGCTGTAGGGGAAGGAGTGCTTGGCCTTCCAGTTGGCCTGCAAGGGGGAGGGTGAACGAGGAAAGGGTGGTTCGGTGTGTGTGCGCGCGCATGCATGTCAGTGTGTGTGTGTGTGTATGTGTTTTACTTGCGTGCGTGAAGTGAGTGTGGGTAGGGCGGCGATGTGTTTGCACATGCAGCAGACTGCTGAGGGAGTGGGCTCTATGACTGGGTGGTGGTGAAGGAGACGTTCGCACAAGCACACGCACATGCACGTCCTCGCGCACACGCACGCGCGCGCACACACACTCACAGCAGGCGTCCCCGTGCCAAGCAGCAGCAGCGTGCGGGCCCTGCAACCTCCTGCCTTCCTCTCACACCCACCTGGGGCTTGGGGTTGTCTGCGGAGATGCCAAACACCTTGTACCCTGCGGCAGCCAGCTCCTCGTGGTTGGCCCTGGATTGATGTGGGAAAGGGGTGAGGGGATTGAAAGGTTGAGGAGGTGAGATTTTATGGGCTGAGGGTGCAAGGGCTGGTTGACTTGGCCGGGTGAGGTTTGCTGGGGTTGACAGGTGAGGTTGTGTGAGGTCGAGGGGGTGGTATTTGATGGAGTGGTCAATCAAGGTCGATTCAGGGTACGTGGGAAGTTGATTTGAAATCACTAGCATGGCACGCTGAGGTGGCGGGCTCCCGAGCAGGAATGGAAGGGTGGGAGGGGGGGTGGACAGGCAAGCTCGGGGTCGAAGCCCGCGTGAGCGCGGCGGCCGATCAGCGCTGGGCACTGCACTTTGCATCAAGGCGACAGGCAGGAGCGGTCAAGGGCTGGCGCTGGCATCTGCCCCGCCCTAACGGGAGACCGTCCGCCGCTCTGGTCACGGAGGTCCCGATCAGCAAACGGCCTTTCCATTTTTTTTCAGCCATTCAGCGCAGAAGACTCACTTGAAGCCGAGGGCCTGCTTGGTGCAGCCGCCGGTGTTGGCCCTGCGGACGCGAAATCGAACATCAACAGGCGGGTGGCAGCAGCAAGGGGGTGAAGCGACTGGGGCCAGTCGGCGCCGCTGCGGCGCAGTGCACAGCGGCTGGTGCATGCATCGCCGGCGGCCCTCCAGCCCGCAGCATGTCTTTGAGCGGCTCCTCTCATCCCAAGCTTGCACGCACATCTTGGTGCCCGAGCCACCCGCCCGATCGGCCGGTCCGAGGCGCTCACTTGGGGTACGCAAAGATCACCAGGCCGCTCTCCGCCACAACCTCGGACGCCTTGAACGCGTCGCCCGCCTCGGTCTTGAGCTCAAAGTCGGGCAGCGCGTCGCCGGCCGCCAGCTTGCCGGCGGACTTGGCGGCCTCCTTGGGGGCGGCCTTGGCCTTGGGCTCGGCGGCCTTGCGGCCGCGCTTCTGCAGAGGGGGGCGTGATGACGTGCCGTGGCGGGGCGGGGCGGCGTGTGATCAAGTGCCAGGACAGGGCCGCTGCGTGGAAGTGTAGGCCGTCCTGAGGGCCGCGGCAGCATTTTGGGCAGCACGCGGTGGAGCGGCCTCCCATTCGCATGGCCTGGATGCCCGTGCACGCACGCGTGGCGCAGGCCCGCGACGCATGCGCACAGCTTTGTGCCACTCTCCTGGACACACGCCGCGCGGGCGTGGCTCATGGAAGAGTCCCCACACGCCGCCCCGACGCCCACCTTAGGCTTCTCTTCCTCCTCCTCCTCCTCGTCCTCCTCATCGTCCTCGTCGTCCTCCTCCTCTTCCTCTTCCTTTGCCTTCTTGGCTGCCGCGGCGCGCTTGCGCCCCTTCGGCTTCTCCTCCGCCTTCTCCTCTGGCTCCTCAGCCGCCGCCTCTTCCTCAGCCTCCGCCTCTGCCTCCTTCACCTCCTCCTCCTTCTCCTCCTCCTTCGCCGCCGCCTTCTTGCCGCGCTTGGCGGGCGCCGCGGCCTTCTCCTTCTTGGCGGCGGGCGCGCGCTTGCGGCCCTTGAGCTTCTCTTCCGGCTCCTCGGCCGCTGCCTCCTCCTCTGCCTCAGCCTCGGCCTCCTTCTCCTCCTCTTTCTCCTCCTCCTCCTTATCGTCCTCCTTCGCCGCCGCCTTCTTGCCGCGCTTGGCGGGCGCGGCAGCCTTCTCTTTCTTGGCTGCCGGCGCGCTCTTGCGGCCCTTGGGCTTCTCCTCAGGCTCCTCGGCAGCCGCCTCCTCCTCCGCCTCCTCTTCAGGGGCGTCCGCCTTGGCAGGGGCGGGCTCCTCCTTGTCCTCCTCAACAGGGGCCTCCGCCTCAGCAACCTCCTCCGCAGGCGCCGCCTCCGCCTCGGTCTGCATGGCGGCGGCCGCGCGGCGCGCATGCGTTGTTGAGCGGCGGCGCGGCGGGAGGGCGGCCCGCGCATGGGGGTGTGTGCGGGGCCTGGGGCGCGCCGCATGGCGCCTGCGGCGGGCGCATGGGGCTGGGGCCGCGTGCATGGTATCATGCTGGGGGCCGCGGCCTGGGCTTCGGGG